TGGCTTGAGAGCTCATTTCTTTTTAGCATTGAATAATCCACTTTCTGCATATACCACAGTTTTTTTGTTAAGCATTTCCTTGATGCCATATGATGTAGATCATCTTTTCATATACTTATTTGTCATCCATATATATTTTCTGGTGAGGTGTTAAGGTCTTTGGCCCATTTTTTAATCACGTGGTTCATTTACTTACTGTTGGGTTTTAAGAGTTTTGTACATTTTGGATAGCAGTCCTTTATCAGACGTGTCTTTTGCAACTGTTTTCTTTCATGCTCGTCTTCTCATTCTCTTGACATTGTCTTTTGCAGAGCAGAAGGTTTTAATTTTAATGAGGTCCAGCTCATCAATTATTTCTTTCATGGATCATGACTTTGGTGTTGTACTTAAAAGGCATCCCCATATCCAAGTTCATCTACATTTTCTCCTGTATTATATCCTCGGAGTTTTATAGTTTTGTGTTTTATAATTAGTTCTATGATCTGTTTTGAGTTAATTATTGTGACAGGCATAAGGTCTATGTCTAGATTCAGTTTTTTGCATATGGATACCCAGTTGTTCCTGCATCATTTGTTGAAAAGATTGCCTTTGCTCTGTTGTATTGCCTTTGCTTCTTTGTCAAAGATCAGTTGACTATTTTTATGTAGGTCTGTTCCTGGGCTCTCCATTCTGTGCCATTGATCTATTTGTCTATTCTTTTGTCAATACAACACTATCTTGATTAATATAGTTTTCCTAGTAAGTCTTCAAGTCAGGTAGCATCATTCCTCCAACTTTGTTCTTCTACTTTAATATTGTGTTGGCAATTTTGTGTATAGATCATTTAAAAAACTACCTGTCTCCTATTTCTGAAGGAGACTGAGAAGCAAATCATGTAGGATATAAGGCCAAGGAATGGACTATTTAATGATTTTATATCTTATGGATATATATATGCAGATATCTTTATATATATTATATATGTGTATTTACATATACATATTCTGAGGGAAAGACAGTCGAACTGTTTCCTCTGCTTTCATACTGTAACAACATTCAACACAGAAGACTTCTGTGACCAAATGTGTGAGGATTTTCCTTACACAAAAAGTGGTGTACACAAAATGAGTGATCTCTAATTCCATTCTGATGCTATGTAACTAGACATCACACAGGGTGAGTGAGGGCTCAGTCCCACTGGACTGCCTCCTCTGGTTGTAAGTCTGGGCCTCTGGGACTTCTGACCAACCAACTTCAAGTTTGGGTTCCCATTACTCCCTATTTCGGTTCAATTAATTTGCTGGAGTGGCTCACAGAACTCAGGGAAGCTTATGTTTACTGGTTTATTATAAAGGATAGTATCAAGGATATAGATGAAGAGATGAATGGGGTGAGATATTGGGGCAGGTGTGTGTCCTCACTCTGTGCCCCACCCTCCGGGAACTCCTATATATTCTGCTACCCGGAAAGTCTCCTATCCCATATTCTTGGGCCTTTTATGGAGAACTTCATTGGATAGACATGATTGAAGCATAGACAGCCATGTTGAAATGTGACTAGACAAAAAGGGTGTGATATAATGCTAATAGACTGAGTAGGAAAACCCAGCAAAGCCTGTCTGTTCAGATATTTGTTGGCATCTCTGTGCAGCATTCCTTCTTCCCTGGTGTGGGGAGGACCCCTTCTGAAGTGAAGGTCATAAGACCTATGATCATTAAGTGAAAGAGTGATTAGAGTCCTGCCCTGTCTTGAGCAGGTGAAAGGTGTTCTGAGGTCTACTTCTGAGGCCAAAAGTGCCACAATATTATAGCAAAAGACTGTAACAAATGCTGTGGGAGTCATGAGTGAGGAACTGTGGATGAAAAAATATATATAACTATATATATGTGTCATAATATGTCATAATATACATATGTCATAATATCACAGACATATCTATACACATATATACATATACATACATGGACATAAATATATGTATATATGTATATGTATGATATAGATATAGGTAGATATTTAGAGATAGATAATAGTCTCTTTATTTCTTATATATATTACAATAGGAAATACTGGTATCTATAAGAAAAAACACAATAGGACAGAAAATAATGCCTTATGAACACAGTGGTATTATTTATTATCCAACTTAGGATACTTCTGAGAGAGTTGGAGAGAACAGATAAAAAATTAAACTTATTATAATTTTTGAAATGTTTATGTATTGGATAAGCTTGCTATATTGGTCAATTTATGACATAGTTCTTTTTAAAAAATTACTTTCAAAAATAAGACCTCAAAGTATTTTATTAGAAATGAATGATTTAGGACCAAAAACCAAAACAGATGGGACACTAGGACAACAGGCATAACATGGAACTGTCCCTGGCAAGCAGGAAGTATGGTCACCTTTCTTGCGAAGTCAGGAATAGATTTTAGGCGCTGACTCCTGAGAAAACAGTTACATTATTTTCTCTTGTTAAACTTTACTCATTTTTCTAGAAATCCAGCACACACGGGCTCACACTCTAGAGGCTGTTATGCAAACCTGTGGTTTCCAAAGGTCACTGAGATTCTAGCATGTGTACTCTCTGTGGGTGCCCCAGGAGAAGGGACTCTCCAGCTCTAAACACGCCCCAGACTGCAAAAGATACATTCTGCCATTGGGGAAGATCTGAAATGTCCTGGTCCCTCTTTGGACAAGGAGATCTCCTAAAACCTTTGAGGAAAATAATTGCATTTCAGTTATCTCTTTCAAAATGTTGAACTTGAGATCCTTATAGTAGATGATTTTTTTAAAAAAAATTTTAAATATATGGCTAGGCTGATATGAGGCAAAAACAGAAACTTTTGGCCTCTGGTCCCCTGGGGCAAGCTGGAATCTCTATTTCCCATTAGCCCACAGCTATTCTTATCAGCCCTTCCCTTTGTCATTTTTTATTTCTTCAAAATAGTTGCTGTACAGAAGAATAAAAGACCTTTCATGTTGTCTTAGTATTTATCTTTCTATTTCTTAGTATGAAGTAGTTGGAAGAAACGCTTTAGATTTAGACAGCTGTGCCTTAAACTTGAGGCATATCAATAACCCCTGAGTGTCAAAACACTCTAATCACCTTATCTGGTTGGGAATAATATTGTGGACCTTGCCATTAGGATTAAGTGATATGTTCCAGGTAAAGTGCCTGGCACAGTGTTTGGCAAGTAGGAGGTGGCTAATAAATGTCAGCTATAGTTATTAATATTAGGGGAAGGAAGAATAGATTTCATGTAGGTAGGACTGTCTTTGGAGAAAATCGTCACATAAGCTTTTTCATCCCCTATTTTAGCTTCCTTCCCATTCCCCCTCCTCTGTTCCACACACCACATACCCATCTCCCACGGCCAGTACTCAGTGCTCTCATATGCCCTTTGCCTGCCCTCTGTTCCTATTCTAGCATCTTCTGTTCCTGGTTTATCTTCCTCTCTTTCTTTCCAGATCCTCCAGTCTTACAACCTGTGCTTTTGCTACATGCCATGTATAACCTTGGAAAAGTTCTGTTAATGTCATTTATGTTAAACATTAATATCATTTTCCTGTGCTAATCTTGCCAGGAGACATTTCCATGTTAATGAAGGTCAGCGTCGTAACCTAATCAAATAGAAGTACAAAACTTAGGTTGGAGGCATCAGCAATAGGGAGAGAAGAGATATTTTCAAAGAGAAGGACTCAGTGATAATAAAAATAAGGAGGAGCTAACTTGTATTGGGCACCAACTCTACTTTGCACTATGCATTATAGGCATTACCTCATTTAACCCTCACAACTAATAAATTAGCTACTACTATTATTTTTATTTTTCTGGTGAGGAAAATGAAGCTTGGAGACGTAAAGCAAATTGCCCCAAATCATATACATCTAGTAAGCAGAGAAGACAGGTTTGGAACTCAAGTCCATCTGACTTGCTGCCATCTTTCTTATGCTATCACTTACAGGCTGAATTTCCATCAGAGCAGGGATCTACTTGCTTTTCTTATGATCATTTTCTAGAGCCTAGAACAGTGCCTGGTACATGGGAAACAGTCAATTAAGAGTTGATGAATGAATAAATGTCCACTCTTCTCACAGTATATTCTCCATTTACCACTCTGGTATCACCTCTTGCATGGTGGCCTTTCCTTGCCCAGTATTCTAAGAACTCTGAACTTCTAGTAGTTCCAAATATACTCTTCTACTCCCTGACTTAGTGCCTCTGTCATCCTGTCTCCTCTACTTGCAATCCCTCATGTCCCCCAAATCTCTGAGCTAACTCCTACTTACCCTGTGGGAGATAGAGCTCAAGAGTGCTCTTCCTCTATGAATTTCTGCATGACTCTGGTATCTTTCCCACTGTCCCCCCCCCACCCCCCAGTGTCCCCTGCGATTCTTTCCCCCTTGGCCCAACCCAGCAAGGGTTGTTTCTGTGTCTGTCTCTTCTACTAGACAGAAGTGCTTTTGAGGGCAGATGTCTGGTGTCTTTTTCCCCTTTATTTGTACCTGACATACTTTTTTATCTTCTTTTTTAATCTAACATTTTTCTTTTTTGGGGGGAGGGAATTCTTCTGGCCTAGCCTAGTTTATCAGTTCTTAGGTGCATTTTTTTCATATTTTAATATCTCATTAAGTTATGTCCTGTAGTTCTTAAAATCTTAAAATTATTGTTGACAGTGTTTTTTCTGACTTAGTGAAACAAAAATAAGGGTTTATTTCCTCCTACAATCAATAGCATCTTTGATTTAATAAAATACAATGGCAGATATTAAATAAAGATTATATGATGAACAGATGAATGAATGAATGGCACTCATAGCCCCCCTTAAATCCCATTGTTATTACTAATTAAACCCTAACTGTTCTGCATCACAGATGTCATGGCAGGGCAGCAGTTGAGTATTATTCTTCATATATGCTAGTAAATAAAAGCAGGGCAGGTAATGAGTCAGCTCAGATTGTTCTTAATTATTTCTTGCTGGAATGATGTGACCTATTCCATATGTTTATCTTCCAGGTGAAATTGATCTTCAAATTCTCTCCAAAGTACAGGCTCAATACCCAGGAGTTCGTATCAACAATGAAGTTGTTGAGCCAAGTGCTGAACAAATTGTCAAGTACAAAGGTAACTGTGACTCATGGTTCTATACACCAAATCCTATCTCAAAAGTCTTATCAACCCAGATTGTTCTTTTGAATGATTAATAATATACATGCTGTGGTATGCTCTTTGCAAGCTTATTGGGAAAAGGACCTAATTAAGTTTTGGCAGTCATGACTAAACATCTCAAAATGTGAACAATGAATAATTAGACTCCTTTTTCTATTGACTCTCCATCCACTCCCCACTTGTCATCAATTATTATTTTTGATGTTTATTCTTAGGGACAGAATCATTCATTGATTCAGAAATATCTAAAAAGAGTCCTTAAAGAGTTTATGTTTAGTGGATTACAGCAAGAGTCAGCACTTTTTTTCTGAAAAGCAACAAAAAGTAAATATTTTAGACTTAGAAGGCTACACAACTTTGTCACAACTAATTAATTTTGCTATGTGGCCCAAAGGCAGCCATAAAAAATATGTAAACTAATAAGCAGGTTATGTTTCAATGAAATATTATTTATAAACACTGACATTTGAATTTCTTATTATTTCACATATGAAATATCCTTCCTTTGATTTTTTCAACCATTTAAAAGTGTAACGAACATCAAACATGAATGACAGAGGCACAGAGTCAGGAAGTGGAACAATATATGATTTCAGCTTGTGGTCCATACGGAAATAGGTGACAGGCCATCTATAGCCCTGGGGGCTGTGGTTTGCCTACTCCTGAATTACATAAATATATCACCTCTTTTATATTCACTTTCCATTGATAAAATTCACCAGTTGATTCCCCATTAATACTAAGACAGTATAACCTATTTCTGCCCAGGGTTCTTATAATTATTTCTTATTGACTCTTCCTTTTACCCCTAATTTTACTTAATTCTAGCAAAAAAAGCAGGGTGAACTCTCTGATCTCTCAGAGCTACATAAAAAAGAAAAATGTGCTTTATATCTGTTATGTATATAACATTGATTGCATTAAAATTCTAAATGGAAATGGGTTCCACATTTGCAATTAAAATTGATGGTGTGCTACCTCTTCTCGGTATTTTAGAGCTTGTAGCCAAGACATCAAACCTCGAGAACATAAAGTTTGCTTGGCATAAGGAGACATCATCGGAATATCAAAATAGAATGATGGAGGAAAAAGTGCTTCAAAAGTGGGACTTTATTCATATGATTCAGGTAAGAAATATTTATTACATTGTGCGCTCAGAAAGGACATTCTTCAGGAATATATATGAAGAATGCCTACTATTCTAACTTTTAAAAGAAAAATGAAAATTCTTCTGATTTCTAATTTTGTAAGTGACCATGATCTGTTCAAGTGGAAAATAAAGATCTTGATAATACTAAGTTTTCTCTACTCGATATACTTCCACAGTTACCAATTTTTGAAAATGTTGGCTTAATTCATTTTTCTAGCATTGAAAGTTTATACATAGATTTGAGGATGAAAGAGTGGTAACATATCCTACACATTTCTCCAGTAGCTCTAATGGACTGGGCAGACCAACGTCCTAGAGTTTTTCTGAAAGATATAATTGGATGGACGAAAGTCCCAGAGTGTTTCTCAATTCTCTTGTGTTTCCCTGTAGGTAGTGGACATATAGCCAAAGGGGCAGGTTAGATGATGCCTCAGATCAATAAAGTTTTACCTCCACTGTCCAGAACCAACAGAACCAACTCATGCATTCTTGGAAAGGTGGTGACTATTGAGTAGATGGTATGGGGCTGGATTTCTAGGGTCACTGATATTTCTGAATGACATAAGGGAGGAAGGATGTATAGGCTTTGGGAGTTAGCTACCATCAGGAGATGTGCATATTTTAGAAATACCACTTTATTAACAACAGAACACTTTTTTATTCCTATAGTCTACAACCATAGTCACCCCAAAGGAATAAAGTTACAAGAAATCAAAAGAAGAAATGACTGCACATTGATATGTTCAGGCAGTCCTACCTCTCTCTTCCTTTAGCTGACAACATCTTTTGCCTATCAGGGAGTAGTTCACATTGCCTAGCAAGGATGTCTCTCCAGTAGACTTGCTTTCTTTCTCACTTCCTCTCATAACTATTTTACAGCTCCCCTCTCTTCTTATTCTTCCTGCAATCTCTCCCTGACCACTCATTTTGAACAGATGACCTCACTTTATACTGTATTGACAAAATAGACACCATCAGATGGAAACTCATCTTTTACCCTCTAAACTTGCAAACAGCTGCACTTATGCTCATCATTTCCTTCTTCCATGGTTTTACAGAACTTCCTCTTATTAAAAGTCAGTCCTTTCAGTCGTACCTTGGATCCCATTGTTCTCTCTGTTTTCAATGTCATGCTTTTCAGGGATCAGCTCCTTTCTTCTATTTTTCTAAAAACTTTGAAGTTTGTTCTTTCTTTCTTACAGTAACTCTATTTCCCTCTGCATCACTCTCCTAGTCCTCTCTCTCTCTCTCTTTGTCTACTCCACATTTTTCTGTGGCCCTTACAGTTCTAACACTCTCATGACACTTTCTCAACTTAATATTCACTGTCAACCTGGAAAATCTCACTGTCTCATAGAGAAAAACTTGGGGTATCTGTGATGGCCTACCTCCTCATTTTTAGCTAGGTCATACTGTAGATTGTTAGCCATCTTATGAATAAGCTGTACTTGGCTACCCATCTATGGTCCCTGTGGTAGACAAGGCAAAGTATGGCCCCTGAAGCACCATGGGCAGTGTGCAGGGCTATTTTATGCCATTCATTCATGTGAAAGAGGCATAGTTTAAATTGTTTTCCCTTTATGCAGTGAATTCTGTTATAGGCATGCTACACTGAATATTTGAATTCTTATCCAAAAGAGATGAAGATGAGATATAAGAAGTGTCTATGGGGGTGGAATTCAGGGATGCAAGACTTTAGGGAAAATTTCCCACTGCCAAAGCAGAATTCCATGCTCTGGGTGTTGGATGGAAAGGACTGCACTTCACCAGGGAGTGGTCCAGAATTACTAAAAATGAATGGGCTGATCCCTGACACCTGTGATCAAGTATGTAACCTTATGCTTTATCCAGTCCAATTTCCTAGAGAATCTCTCAACATCGGGGCCTGTCACATTTTTCTGTGATTTTCAAAAAGCATCTGTGAGCATATGGAGAAGCTAGTGCAGAGGGCTTAATTTTAAAGCAACGTTCCATGAAATGGGGTCTGTTTTTATGGTGCCGGAACCATTTTCTCCCAGAAGAACTGCAATTCACAAATTATAGAATAGGCATAGGATCAATGTCCCCATGTGGAATGGTGACTAAGTGTCTGTAGCTATAAATGTCTGTGTTATGGAAGCCAGAAAGAGTAAATTTAAAACCATTTGACTCTAGCTGAGCAAATACTATAGTTTTCCCTTTTCCCAAATACTTTCTCACATTATTTTTCTATCTCTCCTTATAATACATATAAAAATATCAATTTTTAAATTCCTTAAGTGTTTTGTTGGGTAAAAATCCACTCAGCTGGAAAATCAAACTTTCTAGTGAGTATCTAGTCCAAGCAATAAAACTTCAATGTAGAGAAGCATCTCATTTCTCTTTTTCCTCCTTTCTAGATGCTGTATTATGTAAAAGACATCCCAGCTACCTTGAAATTCTTCCATAGTCTCTTAGGTACCAATGCTAAGATTCTTATTACTCTTGTGTCAGGTAAGTTATTTTAATTCAGCCCAAGTTTTAAAATAGCAATAGTGCATATATGCATAGATTCATGTGTTTAAAGGAGGCTGCTATACTTTGTCTTCATTATGAAATTTTTGCCTTTGCTTCTTATCATAGTCAATTAATTTTCATAATATTAGGAAAGTCACTCACAACAGCTTTCAATTTTGGAAGTGTAGTGGAATTAAACATCTATTTACTTCTTTCTCTTGGGAAAATATGTCTTTGTCTTCCATGTATGAGTTCTTTTTATATAACTTAGAGCAAGTTCAACTGATAAAATTTTTTCAATTAGACTAAAAATAGCAAATATTTATATTTAGCTACTTTATGTCCCTTGAGTGCCTCTTTTCCCTCTGTGATGTTTATTAGTAAGTAAATAAAGGTTTAAATATTTCAGATGCCATCATATTTGATTCATTTGAATTTCTAGAGCCGTTATCAACTTTGTTCATTGTAGGTTTTCTCAAATGCCCATCAGAAATAGTTCACTTGAATTGTTGTATGGTGGTGTTTTATTTTCCAAAAGAGGCATTTGATTGTGTCACGTTGCTTCCAGGAATATAGTAAGTACCACACAGAAAACATAAGTAAATATTGTTAGAAAATGAAACATTGACATTGTTGAGGTCAGCAAGTATTACTTCTTTCATTCAGCAGTCTTTATGGATTGGCCACCAACACTAGGTGGGTTGATTTTAGATATACAATAGTCTCTATCATCCCAAATTTACACCAGACCACAATCTCAAAAGCCATATATCACAAAATTCATTTGTTCTTGAATACAAAGAATAGTTTTAAAGATGGCAAACATAGTTGTTACTGTAATCCTGTGATTGGCAATAAAGAGCTTCTGTACACACCTTTTCCCCATGGGAACATTTTGACATACTATTTTTATCTCCAGTAAGTTAATTATACTAATTTATGCAGGAAGCATGTTTAAGTGTGGCCCCCAGAAGTCCTCAGAAGCAAAGGAGGGATGGGAAGGGGATGAACTACCCAAGTTACTTGGGATTAGAGCTCCAGTCATTTACTCTGGATGTGTAAGAGTTGAGTGTGAGCTCATAAGACTGGGAAACCTGAAGACATTCATTCCAGTTATACTAAGTTGATGATAATGATCAACATTATTTGACAATTCTATTTCTCTTTTCAGGTAAAATCTCTAACTACAAAGTAAACTATGTTGGGAAAGGTGTTTTATTTTTAAAATTTTTAACTTATATTTAATTGATTTATGTGACATGTCTCATCAATACCGGTGTTGGCTCCAGATTTCTGCTCCCAGTTCAACTTTTGATCTCTTTTCTCCAAATCTTGCATGTGTTGCAGCTGCCATTTCTCATCCTGTTTGGTGTGGCCTCAAGCATGGACATAACTCTACCTCCTTCCTTCTCTGAAGCACCATTCTTTGCTTTGGGGAGATGTTAGGGCCTGTGGGAAGGAAGAAGAGCAAAGAACAGAATTCAGCATTAAAGTCCCAGAGCCCTGAAACTGCTGAAAACTTTCCCACCTTTCTCCTGCTCCATCTAGCCCACCTTCCTTGGAGCTACTCTCACACCTTCTCTCAGACCTCAGTGCTAGGATGCCGGCTGCTCACTTCCCTGTCCCAGCTGCTTCTAGAGCAGTTAAAGTCCTTTTTGCTCTATCCATGTCACCTAAGTAAACAAACCTGTGGACCCTTGAATATGTCTTAACAACACATTTCCCTGAGATGAAATCTGTTGCCCTTTCAGTGTATGAACATGACTGTAGTTTTTTTCCCCTTAAAAAAAAACAGCAATAATTATTTTGTTGTATTACTATACCCAATAAAAATGTATGGGTCAGCTTTTAGAAAAATAGGTCAAGCCTTGCTTCCAAAGTTGGAAATAAATTTAATCACAAGAAATTTCCAATAGGATTTTTAAAATATCAATATTACTGAATGTGTATAGGAATGATCCATATTATTATTAATACTTATTGTTGTCATTTGATGATACGGTTTCAAATGCCTAGCTGCCTAGCTAGTCTATGGATAGAAAAAGAGTTTGAGAAACTCATCTGAGGTGTCCGTTTACACCCCTCCTTACCCCTGTGTAGGAACCAGTGTTTAAATTGCCTGATAACTCCCATCTATAAATTTTGAAACCCCATTCTCCATCTACTTGACAGATGCAAACATTTCTTACATTTGAATATTGCCCTAAAATTTGGAACACCTACACTGAAATGGTTTACACGAGGCTTTGTTTTTATTAAGATTCTTGTGGCCACTTGTCAAATGGAATTTGCATCATAATTATCTAAAAGTAAAGACGTTTCTGTGTGTACTTCCTGTGTTTCAGGGTAATATTGTCATCCATAGCCACTCTGCAATGCAGACAACTGAGCACTCATTGTAGGCAGATTCAGAATGGCCCAGAAGTATTCCCTAAATTAAATTTCTAAGAGCACTCATCTAGCCCGGATCTCATCCAGGCAGATCAGTGGTGTGTCTGGGTCAACATCTTGCTCTAGATGGTCATCTTAACCATGCCACTTAGCTCAGGTCTTGCCTGCCATTCTCAGTCAATTACCAACCTAATATGGAATTAATCAGTTCTTTCTCTGAATAGACTGAATTACTCAATTATTTGACCACCATATGGACACTCTCCTTTGCAATTTATTAGATTTTAATACAATGAAATATGGAGTCAGTTTCTAGACTTAATTGTGCAGGGCAACTAGTTTGGCCAAGGCTCCATGTGTGCTCAGCCGTGTTCAAACCATGGCCTGTACTGTCAGTTCCATGTTTGCTGCATTGTATAGTTGATGTGTGGATCCAGTGAGTGCAGCTTATTGAGCTCTACTCCTAGTCATTGGTAGGCTCTGGAGTTCCCAAGGATGACTTTTTTTCACTGCTTTTGAAAAGTTCCTAATCTAGGGGAGAATTCAGGCATGTAAACACTTTCAGCAATGTGCAAGTTTCCTATGAGAGGTGTATAGGGAGTTTCAGAAGAGATCCTTTAGAGCAGGGTCTCTGCCTCTCACCTCTATTTTTAGATCTTTGCAAAAATTTTGACACATAGACAATACTCAGCAAATGTATTTTAATTGAACTGAATAATTGTTTATTATTTCTGCCTTCTGACATCAGTACTACAATTAGCTCTGAACATTCATCCAAGAAAGAGAATATACTTCAGCTAAAACTGACCTGAAGATAGACATGAAATCAGAGAACATAGAAAGTTTTTGCGATTTGAAGATAGGTTTAGTAAACAGAAACAAAAGGCTCGATAAAGAGTATACACACACACACACACACACACACACTGTGCATGAAAATAGCCAGACAAAAGCAATGAAGAGAAACAAGTAAAACTAATTAGGGAAAAAAAAAAAAAGAAATTGAAATTAGAATTAAATAATGACATTTACTGGTCAGCCTATTAGAATACAAGTTGCTTGAGTTAAAATAACATATCCTCTGTGTTCCTAAGTATCCATGACAAAACTAGCTCAGCTCGGCAAATGTTCATGCAGTGTGAACTAGCAGAAATTCCTGGTTATGAAGATGAAAGAAATTTGATTAGGGGATGAAAAAGAAGTCAAGACAAAAGAGTTGATTTTTTTTTAAAAAAATGAGGATTATTCCACACTACAATTATGTCGGTGGCATGTTTTTCTGCTAATGTTGTAACCCGACATTAGCTGGGAGAGCTGGTATGTAAAAGGCGAGCTGAGCTGTCTGGTTAAGGGAGATGAGCCAGCACTGAAGTTCTCTGTTTGTCCTCTCCTTACCTGACTAAGGAAGGAAGCAAATCATGGTGTGTTATTTTTAATACAGTGGGAAGAAAAGAAGCTGGTTTATGTCATATTGAAAACAAAAGTAACACCATATGTTGTGCCTACCGAGAGCCATTATGATAATGCATCAGTCCGGGAGTGCATAATTGCTCTCAGCTCAGAAATGGCACCAAGTCACAGCACTGACTCCAGTGAATTTTCTGCAATTAGTGTTTGGTTCTTTTTTTCTCTGCCTGGTTAAAAATAATAATGATGATGATGATAACAAGACCTCTCTTCAGCCACTAAAATGCTTATTTTATTACAAAGTCTTGTTTACAGGTTGGCTCATGTTTGGGAAGTCTATCTGCTATCTTAGAAATGAAAGATTATTTAATGCACACAACCCTCACTTTTCTTTTTATTAGACTGAGGTTTTATTTATTTATTTGTTTCGCTTCATTCCAATTCTACCTTCTCCTAGAGCATGGCCTGCAGTTAAGTCTTCCTCTTTTGAAATATTAGTAGAGCATCAATTATCCTAGGCCATTTATTATTTACCACTTCCTGTCTTGCATAATCTCTTATGTTGAGTTAAATCTCAGAACTTTAGCTTAAACTATGGCTGAGAGCCAAGAGTCTTTGAACATTCTATAATTATATGCAGGACTGTGTGTATACGTAGGGTTTGTGTATTTTTCAGGAGAGCCAATTGCTTTCATTACATTAGAAAGGTGATTTGGGGACCACAAAAAACTCAGAACATTGGAATCTTCACTTTTAATCCTGGAGGCACATAGAAAATATAGGTTCTCCCTTATATTGCTTTGGCCAAGTCTGGTTTAATCTCCTATCACTTCAGCAATGTTTAGTATGTGCAGTCAGGGCTCTAAGTTCATTTGCTTTATTAACTCACTTAACCCTTGCAGTAATTCTGTGAATATGTTGCCATCCCTGTTTTACAGATGACAAAACTGAGACAGAGGTTCATAAAGCTAATAAGAGGGAAAGCCAGGCTTCATACTCAGGCAGTATACTAGGGCTTTAGAGACCCATGCTCTTGATTGCTGCCCTGTACTGACTGTATAGAACAAGCATGTATTAGAGGGTCCATACATAGAAGCTCATTATTACTACATAGATTCCTCAATAGCAGGTTTGCTTTTTCAGCCTCAAGATTACAACCAATGGAAACACACTAACAAACATATTCATTTATTTTATAA